CAGCAGCTCGGGCTCCTCTGAGGAAGAGGAGGAGCGGAAGAAGAAGAGCGCCAAGAAGCGCGCCAAGAAATCCAAGAAGAAATCCAAAAAGAAGAAGAAGAAGCAGGAGTCATCATCTGACTCCAGTTCCTCCTCCGAGTCCTCCTCTGGCTCCACCAGCTCCTACCGCAGCACTTCCAGTGTCAAGAAGGGCCCGCGGGCGGCGGGGGGCGAGGAGCCGACACGTCCTGCCCGGGGCAAGAAGGAGGAGAAGCAACGGAAGAAGCAGGTGGACAGCCTGATGATGAAGTACCTGTACCGGCCCGAGAGCGACTGAGGCAGGAGGTGGGAGCGGTGTGTGCCGTGCAGCATGAACCTCCCCGTGTGCCACTAACCACTCGCCCTAACCCTCTCCTGACTCCGGACATGGAGTCCACCTCCGCCAGCATGGGGCACCTCTCTGTGCCTGCAGCAGCCCTGCTTTTGGGGTGCTGCAGGGCATCCCCAACTCATCTCCATCTGTGGGGAGATTCCCAGCGTGGCCGCAGCGGGACCGGCACTGCCCAGGCTGCCAGGAAGCAGCGTGTTCAGGATTATTGGCTGTGGGGACACTGGGAAGTGCTAATGCCTTCCTGGCTCCCCAGCCACCAGCTAGGACACAACTGGATTTATTCCTTCAGGAAATTTAAGGAGTTATGGGCAGCACAGCATCCCGCTCATCCTGGGAGTGGGCAGGAGTGTGACGGATACTAACATGACCCACTGCAGTGTGTGATCATGGGGGGAGGCAGCACCTGGGAAGGTGACCCGGGATGGGCAGTTGGAGCTCAGAGTTGCTGTCCTGTGTCCTGTCAGGTGCCTGTGATGGGAATTTGGGGTGTGAACAGCCTCAGCCTGCAGGACTTTGGGTCTCCACACCCTGTTTGATGTAGAAGAGTGGATGTGCTGGGGCTCACTGGCAGCGATTTCCAAGCAGATTCCATCCTTTCTGATGGCTTGAATAGGAGAATGACTGAAGGAAGGGAAGGAAGCCTTTTGGAAATGTGGTTGCCATTGGGCTGCCTTTCCCAGGGCTAGGGAAGGCATCACAGGGGCAAAGGGGAGAAACACCCCCAGCACCCAGCCCTGGGCTCAGGTACAACCAGGTCCTCAGGCAGGGGTGTCCATGAGTGCTGGTGTCGGCATCCAGGGCCCCCCTTTTCCTGAGTGTGGAGTTCTGGGTGCCCATGGGAGTGGCAGCCCCTGGGCAGGCTCAGCTCAGCCCCACCTCAGAGCAGGGGCTCAGCTCAGCACAGCGAGGAGCTGGTTGCAGTGGAGCATACCACAAATATCTCGGAAATAATAAAAAAGGAGGCAATCAGGGCTCCATCCAGCTGGCTGCCAGTGTGCTGGCTCACCACAGCTCCTGCT